CTGGATGTCGATTCCGTAGATGGAGATGTTTTCAACGCGAATGTTCTCGTAGTGGATGTTGGAGATGAAACCGGTGGTGTTGGAGTTCGACTTGATGCGGGCTCCGTTCTCGGCGTTAAGAACCACGGAGTCTGTGAATGAGATGTTTGTTACGTTGTTGTCTGGATAGATGAGGTTAGTAAAGTATGAATACTGTATAGCCGGATGATGGGATGGCATACTTGACTTTCCACCCACAGATCCGATGGAGAGACCGTGGCTGCCGTTGCAGTACATGTTGCTGACGTGGATGTTGTCTCCACTGGTGACAGCTACACAATCATCCTGGTTGATAACGACACTGTCGCGAACCTTGGTATGATTGGTGCTACTCAGACCGAATCCATCGCTGTTGTGTGCTGCAGGAAGGCCGTTGGAGCGGTTGTTGGGCGCATATCCGTCGCTGTTGTCCAGCGTAATGTGGTGGACATCCAGACCAGCGCTGTTGCTGATACTGAAGCAGTGCACCGGGTAGTTCTTGATGTAGATGTCATGCACTGAACTGTTCCCAAGCACCTTCACCTCAATGAAGTGGTTTGGCTTGGTAACGCCTCCGTTGCTACCCAGGCCATCCCACCAAGCCTGACCATTGCCATCAAGCACTGCGTCTTCTTCTGCAGTGATCTCGACATTGGTACCTGCTACCTTGATGAAGGCATAGTTTGCATCGGCATACTCCCAGAACGTCCTTCCTTTGAACGTGACCTTGGTACCAGTCTTCAGCTTCGACAGATCGATGCTTGAGTTTCCAGGGACCGTGATGTTATCGAGAGTTATGCAAGTGCAAGCTGCGACTGCAGCCGAGATATCGGAGTACTTCGTCACGTAGCAGGCATCGGTGGCCGCGGTTGCAGAAGGTGAAGGTACAGCAGATACAGTTCCCGCAGTGGCAAGAGCCAATGATGATGCAGCTATAAGTTCGTCAGTACAGAAATGGTCTAGGCTGCAAAGTGCTATTAGTACCGTGGAATCGCATAGTGACGGCTTGAATCTGACGTGAGCGTTAGGTGAAGATGAGTATACGGGATATCGACGACGCTATATAAATGTATGCAGGGTCTTGGGTCCCCAGATAATTTGTTGAAGAACCACCTGCATATTACCGACTAGTCGCCACATAATCTTGCGCTCGGCCGCTGTAGTGGTAGAAGAACTGCAGCCTCGTCATTTCCGACCCCAAAGCACAAGCACTTCAAGCACCAAAGCCAAGTCCAGACGATGCTTGACAGCAGTGCTATGCGAAAAGAGGTGTTTGACCCACAAATCGGCGTCCGGAAGCGTGCTATCATGGGGAACGGCTCGGAAGAACAGGGGGTACGGCTGGCCGGTCAGTGGCAAAAGGTCTAAGTCGTGTTCTGTTTGGCCGATTATTGCAGATGTACAACGTGAAACATTCATCCGGAATGCCACCATGACCGTAGTGGAGATGCGGAGTGACTGTGCGGAAAAAAAGGGTTCCGTCCAACGGCACGGCTACTTGGAAGCGTGGATGACGGGATGAGTGATCAGGGAAATGATGGGGGTCGACGGCATCTGCGGATGCTATACTAATCCACGAGCTTTCGCGCAATCAACGAAGAGTGTTGAGAGGATTGCATCTTCGAACACGAAGAAGCGCCGGTATACAAACAAATATCGTGATGAACCTGCAATAACGGCTGAGCTGTTAGAGCAAGCATGCGCGTTGGAAAGTGATCTGGGAAAGGGCTAGATGACTAGCGGCTTGGCATAAAGATCGATACGTGCCCAACCTTGTAGCTCCTCGTCTTCTAGGCCCAGTGAGCTCTCACATTAACACACCGCCCACATCTTCAAATTTAGTATTTGAGAAGCGGAATATGGAAAGGGGTGCTGAGAGAGATTCTATGAACTCCGCGCCGCCTCACATCGACATGAGGCAGACACGCCGAAGAGGTAAGAACACCAGGTTGAATCAGATGTTTAGTCATCTACGTCTTCAGAGTCAAGCCCCATGGCTGCGATCAGTCCCACGAAATCCAGCGCCGCGCAAAGGTCACATAGGTGTATCTTCACATCATTTCGCGACTCTCGGACCGAAATTGACGGCGCACATGCAACTCATGATGATCTCTTCCGATCGCGCAAAGAGATGGCAAGCCAAACAACCGACACAACATGATGAATATCAAAGCATATTCTGGTCGTTTGGAGAAGTTAGGAGGTCATTGAGTTGAAGGGTCTTGATCGTGAGCGAAAGTCGCTTTATTTACACCTGGACGCCAGTACACAACTGGACATCTTTTCGCAAGATGGCAGTGGATATCCACTTCTGGCGATCAAAGCTTCTTGATCTCGCCGAAGAGCCTCAGACACATATTGCCTCCTTGTACCAGATCTTTCGACAAATTTCCTTCGAAGATCGCTCTCGCACTTCGATGGAAGTCTGGATGCTCATCCAATCCATCATAGCTCATGATTCGTACCGTGTTCATTTTCGATGCCCGATCAAACCTCCAGGTTCGTTTCCAGCGAGAAGCCAGATCAGCATGATCCAAGCATCTCTGGATCCCGAGGGACATGTGGACAGACGGAGGCGAAGATCCCATCAAACGCGATTTTGTCGATGTCGCTCGAGCATGAACCGGAGTAGCTACAGTAGACCTGAGCACCGACATGGTATCTTTGTTCATCAATATCGCAAAGCTCAGAGAATGACTGCCGCTAACGGTACAACAACCTATTCGCAATCAGCTATCAATCTTATAAATCAATACAAGGATACTTACCAAGCCGACCAGACTCATACCCAACCCCACATCCTCGATCCTCGCCGCACCACCAGTCGAAGCCGGCACCGTCATTCCTGTCGTAGGAGTCGCAGTTGAATGAGTCGCAGTTGACTTCGAAGCAGCAAGAGAAGCCGCCACCTGTGCGGGCGACAAAGTCTTCGCCGGATTTCCATACGGCCTAGACGCCACTTTCGACGCAGTCTCATCTTGATCGTCAGGAAGTTGCACATCAGGCACTTCAAATCCTCCAGTCGGTTTAGGCGCTTGGAAGCCTCCAGTCATTTCAGGTGCGTCAAAGCCTGGTGTCGCTTCAGGGTCTGGTCGGTCGGCTGGCCTGTATGGGTTGGGTGCTGCTGGTGCGGGCGCGATGGGTTCGATGATTTGGGGTTTTGGGGGTGTGGGGATGCGTGGTGGGGGGATGAATGCTGCTGATGATGTTGCGATGAAGAGGGTGTACAGTAGGGTGTGTGGTAACATTATGACAGGTATGGGATGTTTTGAGTTTGGATGTGATGATGAGGTATTGACGGAACGAGACTAGATGGAGAGGGATGCGCATCGCAAAATACTACTTGTTGTATATAGGCGTCCATGATCATGATGTATGTGGGTTTCAAGGCGCCCGGACTACATGGGCAGTGTTGTGCTAGCCGCCTATTGTTGTTGCGGCGCAGCGAAAATCAAGGGCGGAAAATACGCCCTGCAGCCCCGCGATTCGGGCGATGCACGCCATGGCTTGATGCGTAATTTTAAAGGTTGGGGGCCCAAAACACCAACCTCTGATATTTCCAAGGACTTGAAGAGGATGTGCTCTGATTACTCACATCGTTCCTCAGCCCACATCCTTTTCATGTTCTTGCCTACGACTATTACTGCGTCTAGGAGTAGGCAAGAACATGAAAAGGATGTGGGCTGAGGAACGATATGAGTAACCGAGAGTTCTACTATCGAACCGAACAGAGAGGAGATGTGCGCGCCACCACGCCCTCTGAGACCTTTCTTAAAAACGCCATCGCTATGCAAACACAAGGGTAATAACACACCGACAACCCACCGCTTCAGTCACATGTCTAAACGAACCAACCAACCACATCTCCTTGCTCTCTAGATCATCGATAAACCTCGTCAAACGGTCTGGTATCCCGGAAACAACTCTCCCAAACCTCATTGACAACTTTCCCAGCATGCTCTTGATCCTTTATGCCCGGCCTCGCCATCATACTCAGCGTCGCCCTCCTCCTAACACAAGACTGTAATTGTTCCATGATATTCCATTGATTCCTTGTGAAGAACTCTCTCGAGAAACGGCATTCGCCGCTGAGTGTAGATGCGCGAATCTCTAGACAGGCCTGGTGGCGCAGGTTCTCAGGTTCGACTTTGAACTTTAGGTGGTCCCACGCGTGAACCATCTCATGCGCCATGGTGTCTTCCTGGTGCCCGCGATTGCGGAATTTGTTTGCGCAGAGGAGGATGCCGTGGTCGAGGGAGAAGCCACCAGATTGCTCGTTCGTGCACATGCGACAGAGAATGTTGTCTTTATTCAGGTCGCCACCTAGTTTGTACACTTCGTCCGACATGAAGCGTATGATGGGACTGTATTTCAAGAGGTATTCCTTGTTGGACTCGCAGCGCTTGCATATCGAGTCGGCTTTTATCTTGTCCATCTCGTTGAAGTAGCCTTTTTCTAGTTCGATGTCGCGGGAGCCTGTCATGCGGCCGAGCATTATGTTGAAGGTGCTGCTCCATGTGTAGTATACGGGGTCGATCTTTTGGGGCGGCGGTTGGGCCATTGCGGAGAGGGATGCGCCGTCGGGCGCTGTCTCGGGGTTCGCCATCGTGGTAGGGCGTGGAGTGACGTTCGAGTCTGATTACGGGGGGGTCAAGCGTTGGGCGTGCAGGTGTGGCGTGGCGTATAGATGTTTGGTGTAGGGCGTGGCATGTTCCTGATTCCCGTCGCGAAAAGTTTAGGTGGAGATGGAGATGCAGCTGGTAGCGCGGGGAGCCAATCGGAGGGAAGACGTCACCGCGTACAAGGGAAGCCGAAGATCGCTTGCGAGGAAACTTGGGCTGCTTACAGTCATCCATTGCGCGACAACACACGAGCTGCGTGTTCATATAGTACACAACGCGTTGTACATATCTCACTTGTCTCTTCCCGTCTAAGACTACAGCCATCACCACCTTGAGCCCCTCGTCACTCCCTCCGTCGCAATGGCCGTCCACATGCGCAAGCAGCCCGGCCAGCTCACCGTGGTAATAAAACTCGGTAAATACACAACCGTACATATGCCACATCGACAAGAAGAGAGCACCTAACCAACACACCCAGGAACCTCATCGATAGTCGACGAAAAAACCCACCAACCCCTCCTCTCCATCCTCTCCCTCATCGTCGAGACAGCATGCAGTCTGCGCGCCGCTGGCCACCGCGTCGTAATTGTGTCTTCGGGCGCCATTGGTGTCGGCCTACGGCGCATGAACCTTCCACGTCGTCCAAAACACCTCCCACAAGTTCAAGCGCTGGCTGCTATAGGACAGAGCAGATTGATGTCACTATGGGACCAGCTGTTTGGCCACTTGGAGCAGCCGATTGCTCAGATCCTGTTGACACGGAACGACATCGCCGATCGGACGCAGTACCAAAATGCGCAGAACACTTTCATTGAGCTGTTAAGCATGGGCGTCATTCCGATTGTGAATGAGAACGATACTTTGGCGGTTACTGAGATCAAGTTTGGTGACAACGATACGCTGAGCGCCATTACGTCGGCCATGGTCCAGGCGGATTATCTTTTCCTCATGACGGATGTGGACTGTCTGTATGACAAGAACCCTCGCACAAACCCAGATGCCAAGTCTATACCTGTTGTGGAAGACATTGCGGAGCTGGCAGCAGACGTCAGTTCGGCAGGCAGTTCACTGGGCACAGGCGGTATGAGCACAAAGATCGTGGCCGCAAGGCTAGCAACAAGCGCAGGTGTCACAACAGTCATCACAAAGAGCAGTAAACCAGGCAACATCTCAGGCATCATCGCGCACGCCGAGAAGCAAAGAAAGTCACGAATGTCAAGTCGAAACTCCGTCACCAACTTCCAAGACGAAGGCGCACCACTCGCGCCAGCAGCATATCAAGACTCTAACCACGACCTCTCAACATCCACATCCACACTGGACAACCAACAACTGACCGGCCTATCCTCCCCTAAACCAGAGGAGCCCGTCCCCCTCCACACCCGTTTCCTGCCCATATCCAACCCGATCCGGGACCGCTACTTCTGGATTCTCCACGGTCTCGCACCCCACGGGACGATATACATCGACCAAGGCGCCTGGGCAGCCCTAAGCGACAAAGCAGGTCTCCTCCCCGTGGGAATCGTAGAAGTAGACGGCCACTTCGCCCAACAAGAAGCCGTCCGCATCGTCGTTGTCAAACGCCTCTCCAACCCTCCCCACTCCCCGAAACCGACGACTCAAACACCACCAACGCCCCAGCCGCCCAATACCCCCGGCGCCCTAGCTCACGGCGTCCACGCCCCAATTCCTATCCGAACACCCCTGACACACTCGTCCTCGTCATCGTACTCGATGTCCTCTTCCCAGACACTACTGCAGCATCCGCCCAATTTCGAATTGCACAATCCCGCGCCGTTTGAGATAGGGAGATGCGTGGTGAACTATTCTGCTACGGAGATCAGACGCATTAAGGGATTGCATTCTACGCAGATTAGTGAGGCATTGGGGTATGCGGATAGCGAGTATGTGGCGTTGAGGGAGAATATTGCGTTCTTTGGGGGTGAGAGAAGTAGACCTAGTACGCCTGATTTTAGGCATGGGGAGAAGAAGGGAGAGGGGGTTGAGGCGCACTGAGGATTGTAGCGAGGCATGGGGTCTGTCAAGACGAGACTAATTCACGACGTAGACATGACAAAAAGGCAGTGCTTTGGGTGTCAAGCTTGAAATTCTTGAATTGAATGAGTTGTGGGATATATTCCCAATTACGATACCAACCAACGCCAGCGGCAAACCCAAGACGCCGAGCAATGCGACTAAAGACAAGAAATTCAGTGACTACCGTGCGGAACGCCCCTTCGCCGTCGTACATGTTAGACATTATGTGAAGTTGGAACACCACCAAGACGAAGCTTAGTAGCTCTCCTCAGACTGCTCCGAGCTGCTGCGTACCTTGCCGCCCGATGTGCGCTCGTAGGCTCGCGAGCTGCCCTTGCAGTGCTTGAGGATCCAGGGGTGTACCTCGACATCCTCAAGCGCGATACGCTTCTCAGGGTCCAGCACGAGTAGTTTCTTGATAAGATCTCGCGCTTCTGAGCTGACGAAGCTCGGGACTGTATACTCTCCCCTCGCAATCTTGCGCTGTGTCATGACTTGAGTGTCCTCGAATGGCGCTTCACCGACTAGGAACTCGTATGTCAAGACACCCAAACTCCATAGGTCGACCTTCTCGGAGTAGAAGTTGTCCTTGCCGCCACCGCGAAGCATCTCCGGGGGCAGGTAGTCGAGAGTTCCGCACATGGTGTTGCGGCGGTTGTTGGGCGCGTGTACCGACCAACCAAAGTCGGAAATCTTGATCTCGCCGTGGATGCCGACGAGGATGTTTTCGGGCTTGATATCGCGGTGCATGACGTGCTTCTTGTGGAGGTACTTGAGTGCTGCGGCCATCTGGGCTACATATTGTGCTGCCTTCCATTCGGGGAAGCGTTGCTCCTTGCGGAGGTGCTTGTATAGTTCTCCTTTACCAGCGAATTCGAGGATGAGGAAGATGCGCTTTGCGTCGTGGAAGTGGCCAAAAAGCTTGAGAATATTGGGGTGTGTGAGATGTGATTGGATCTCGATCTCTCTTCGGACCTGCTTCTCGACTTTGCCTTGCTGGATCTCAGACTTGTGGAGCACCTTCAAGGCACACACGAAGCCTGATGAGCGCTCCTTGGCAAGATAGACGCGACCAAACTTTCCCTTTCCGAGAGGCTTGCCGATGTCAAACATGCCCAGATGCCATTGCTTGGGTGTTGCAGGGTTTGAGGGTACGGTGTAGATGGCGGAGTCGGTGAGCGTGCGGCGATGTGATTGGTGCTGTTCTGAGGGTCGGCTGGAGCTTGCTGAGATGGTAACCTTGGCGATGTTTGCCGTCTTTGCATTTTGCGTAGCGAGCTTCTGTAGTGTCTGATGGGGCAGCTTCATGCGGTTCGCAGCTGATTGTGAGGACGATAGGCCAGCTACCGATACGGTTGTGGATGCGGAAGGCTTGGTGCTGTTAGAAAGCGCGATATTGAGAAGGCGAGTAGATACACACCTTCACCTTGTGGTAGGTCGATGTAGAAGTAACGTGCTCATCGTTCTCGTCGTGGATGGTGGTGCGCTCAAAGGCGGCTTCGAGGTTTGCGACGTCGGCCATGATGATGTCGAGATGCAAGCTGGAGCGACAGGAAGCAAGCAATAGGGCCACAAAAGACCACTGATAGCTATATTGTGCTATGGGAATGGGTGACAGTTGGTGGGTGTGGATGTTTGCAGGGTTCGAGGACGGATGGCAGCTAGTTAACCCAGACAAACAAGTGGGTTTCGTGCGTTGTCAAGGAAACAGCCATCGGCCATCGGCGGTCGGAGCGCTGGTTCGCGCCCCACCACGCTGAAGCTCCCCGCCATCGCCATCGGATCCACCTGCAGGTGTCTGCGAACAATTTATACACACAGCATTCTTCAGGGTCTCGTCGCATAACTCCCCCGCTATGGCTTCCCTCAATGGCGCGCCTGCCGACACTGTGGCACCCGGTGTCGCCGACACATCCATTACCAAGGAAGGCTTCAAGATCACCACGCGCAAACTGCCCATCCTCAAGGCCGGCCCAATAGAGGACATGACCAAGAAGCTCGGGATCGCGCCGCCCGAGATGATATTCGGAGACAACATGATGCGGATAGAACACGCCCAGAGCGGCTGGTACATCGAATTCAATGCCTTCGATGCGCTGGATCTGGTGGACAAGACCGGCGAGAAGATGTTCAAGGTCTCCTACTCGAAAGAGTGGCAGCAAAACAGGTGAGACCAAAGACGCAGCACGGAGAGAACCTGCAGCTAACTCGGATCAGACAGAAGCAGTTTGAGGACATCAAAGAGGTCGTTAAGCCGTTCGACTGGTCCTACAGCACAGATTACAAGGGCACCACACCACCAACGCCCGCCTTCGAGCCGACCGAGACCCCGATACCACTCCACCTTCTCAAGCGTCCCGACCCGATACACTTCTTCGACGAGCTGGTACTCTACGAAGACGAGCTAGCGGACAATGGCATTGCCATGCTATCCTGCAAGATCCGCGTCATGCCACAGCGCTTGCTCCTCCTTGTCCGCTTCTTCATGCGCCTGGATGATGTTGTATTCCGGATACGCGACACGCGCGTGTTTGTCGAGTTTGGGGACAACGTGGTGCTGAGGGAGTACACGGCGAGGGAGGAGAAATACGAGGAAGTGCGGAAGAAGCTCGCAGGACGGAAGGAAGACGTGCTTGCGATAATGCGAGACCCTAACCGCTTGGCGGAACATATACCCATAGTGGAGCAGAAGATTGAGGGGTTGCAACTGAAGTGAGCAAGCGCGGCTCGACAGAACGTTGATCATCACTCATCAGCCCGAAACCAAAGGCACTAAAAGCGCGAAGGCACAACGGCGACCCAAAGCTGCGTCGACAATCCCAAGGCCAGTCTGACCGGTGCGTACGGTGTTAATATTTAGCCTTCGCTCATCGCCTGTTCAGTAATCACGCGAACAACCAGGAAGCAGGCCTCTTGTCCCTGGAATCCGCCGTCTGACAGGCCTCAGCCCAAGGCGATCTCTACTGAGTCTACTCTCGTTCCAGAATACCCATCGAACACACCCCAATAAGCTTAGCTGGACACAAGATCCTGATTATCAAATCGCTACTCAGTACAGACCGCCCAGACAAGGGGCCGGCATAAGGCCTGCATGTGGTCTGCATGTGTACAGATAGCGTAGGAGGGTTTCACCGCTCTCGAGCAAGATAGCCTTTACAATGCAACCCCGATTATATAAACGGATGTTGTTGACTGAAAGCTGTCTGACCTCCCCAAAAGCGCCGGGACTAATGAGGCTTGCAACCTCATGCAAGATTTACGGCTGATTCAACCGTAATGGTGTGAGTTTGAACATCTACGTACAGCTATGGTCAATGCCGCTCTGTGTCCTGAGACCGAGTGTGTGCGCAGTCGTCCAATGTATTGCTACGCGCCTCGAGATCTTGCTGTCACTGCGCCCAGACAGACCTCGAGTACATTCGTCTCTAATCCTGACTATGGAAGCGCAGAATTGAAACTCAATCGCTAGACTCCATCCACGTTGTCCAAGTGTCTTCGCTCGTTGATGTTGATCATCGATCCCACCGTGCGCGAACGTTTAGGGCCCGTAGGGCGGTTCCTGCTGTATTGCTTCCCCTCAAAAAGCAATTAGGTTCTGTCGATGCCGACACAAGCAAGTGACACTGCGTTAGCGCTGCCTGACATAACCAAGGAGACGCGTCCGCATGCCAACAGCAAACGGAGATTACGTTCGTCCGAGATTGGCCTTGTTCAGGGTTCCGTTGTGCACCGCCCCATATTACGACCGGCGGAGAGTGGAAAGTTGACGGTCCTCAACAGACTGGAAATCACCGGCATTTGTACAACAGATAGCCGCTGTTCGGATGGTCCGGATGGCTGGAATGACGACAAGGGTTTGTACGACAGGATAACGGGTACCGAAGACGCGAGAGTGCATGGCAGGCGTAAGGAGGATCCCGAGCGATCTCTCGTCCGAAAGCAGTAAGCTGTCGATCGCGGACCAACATAAGCGTTTTCGACGGGCAGCCGCAATCTTGCTTTACGACCACCAGAATCACGCAAAGAGTGCGCATCGAGCGCAGAAGCTGCCTCGTCACGACAGCCACCGCATGTCTGCTTCCATTACGGACTGTGATGGTGGGCGGATTGCTTGGCAACACCCTCATCCGTGGCCGTCCGGGCTGTGATGTCATATTCAACATTGAGAAAAGCAGTCTCGGCGCCCAGTGTTGTCGCACTAATTGCGGCCTCGAACAAATACGCATCGAGCATGCTGAACTTGGATCCGCTCACTTTGAGTCCGGCCCGTGTAGCGCACGCACGCCCCAATCATCTACTGCGGCGAAGGACGAATCTCAATCCACAGGCCCAGCCATCTCGTCCGAGGCCATGGCAGATGGTGCAAGACTAACCGCGGCCATGGGGAGATTCCGCTATCCGGGGTGCTATGACAACATAGGTCCAAACGTGGCTAACATTTGATATATGTTAGATAGTCGCAGGTGGGCACCAGCAATACATCATCGACGCCGACGTTACTCGCCATCACTTGCCGTTGAGAATCACCATGGCTGACCACCAGTCCCACGGCGAGACTTTCATGTCGAGTACGTCGCAGTCACATCAAACACATTTCAGCACTTCCACCCAATCGGGGTCAGGAACCCAGACTCCTCCCCACGGCGTCACGCGAACTGCTTCTGGTCGTCCGACCTACTTCCCAGATGGCCATGCTCACGGCACCCACGGAGTCTTCTCATCACACTCCTACACGCATGAACCATCGACCACCCATGAAACATCGGCCGGCGCGGGCTTGTTTTCCTCCACCGATGGCATTGAATCCCAGCACCGACAAGAGGAAGTCGTGCCGCTCGAGAAAGTCAACACATCGAGCTCCTCGGATTCTTCAGACACGCGGTTAGGATCTAATGGACAAGCCCCCAAAGTCAAGCGAACCGGCACTTCATCCTCTTACGAAGATGCAGCCCCAGCCACTCTTCAACGACGGGTCACGC